TACGTGGGCAGGGGAAAATTTTTACAAGACACAAACGGGGCCGCGCACCCCAGCAGCGGTGTGGGATTCATAGCTAGCCATGCCTACCCACTAAAAACCCCCTCCGTTCCTCCTATTCGCTTCCGCGGAACCGCCGTCAGGCATTGGCGTCGCGAGAAGGAAGGATGGGCTTTTCGCACTTCACCGAAATATTACGGGAGTCTTCTTCGTAACAGCTCCTCGGAGCGGAGCGTCTTCAGGACCTTTGCGGCATAGGTGGCTACCGGCACTCCAATACTCTTGTGTCAGCAGCATCCTAGTGGATGATGGTCTCAGGGGTCACTTCCTCTTGCAGGAGTCTGTGAAGTTCTTCCCTTTCCACTGCGAAGCGTGGACAATGAAAGAACACGTGTTTCTATCATCTCAATCACCGGGAAACACCTGGGCTGAGGACTATCGTCAACCGGAGATCGGAGCTGATACTGTTGGTAACATCGTGCCCTGTCCAGCATCTGAGTTAGATAAAAATCTAATTTCCATGTTCCCTTTGAATCCACGTCATGATGTCGGAATGACCCGAACTGTCCATCGCCCAGTTTGATGATTACTCCCATCGGCGTTGCCATTGGTCACTGTCACCCCCCTCTCTTCTTTCGTAATGGTATTCCAGTTGAAGCCCCCTCCCGCTTGCGCAAATAGAGTCTAGCTCTCCCTCTGCGCACATGAGTGTTCGCATCGCGAGTATTATCTGCTAACACAGTCGACACAAAGCATCATAGGGATCGGTGCGAAACGCTCGAGGCAACCCGCAAGGCGGACCTTCTATGCACCGACTTGATACCCACGGGCGTAATGACGTGAATGCCTACTGGCATCAGCGAATAGGGGCTGCGGTAGAGAGAATGGAATTTATCCTAGCCAGCAGCCTCCGGCTTCTTTGCCCAGGACCCCCTACCTTAGCCATTAATTCGCGTGCCAATGCGGACTGCCACTTCACGAGAGCTTTCTCGGAGACATATGGCGCAGTGCTCGTCAAAGGGCCAATCCTACGCGTCACATATGGCAACTCCCAACATACCCACCAGTGATCAAGCTGCGAGGAAATTTGGCGCCTCCGGCCAGTCCTACTAGCCCTACCCGACGTCAAGCCACACCGCCGATGCTCCGCCACAGCCTCGTTGGCAACACTGCGTGCACTTGTTTCGAGAGTATTCTGCCGACATACGACAATTGCAACATCGTCAGCGGAATCCAATCGTTCTGCGCCTTCCGGCAACCGAGTTCAACACGTCGTCTATACATAATGTTTCACAAACACGGCACCAAGTACCGAGCCTTGTGGGACATCGCCTGTGACCTGGCACTATAAGAAACTTGTACTCCACGCCCACAGTTTCATATAGGAGGAATTCTCTCCTTATAAGTAACTTTTACCAAGTTTGAGATGTACCTTGGAACTCAAGCGTTTGTAAGCGCAGAAAGAATGGAGCTCCACCTCTGCAGTGTTTTTCAACCGTTCTAGGGTCACTAGTAGACACAATACTTCATTGGACGGCCTTCCCATCGGTTTTGCCTTCCAATGGCCTTGCGTTGCGATGGTCGATGACTACCTTCATTTCATCTACCGTGGATTCTCGCTTTTCTAAAGCCGTACATTATCAGAGCAATCCTTCGAGGCCCCTCTGTAACATGAGACTCAATAGATTGCAGATAATACGCTCCACACTTTTGGCCTGCTGGTGTCCAGTAAGCATATTGGCCGATAGGCTGCCGGACAGTAGGGTGCCCTAATCCGCTCCTTCGGAAAGTAACTAGCTGGTTGCTGGCTTCCATCGTGGGCGGAAATTCCCCTCTCGTATGCATGCATTATAAGCCTGCAAGAAATAGATCGCGCCGGAGTCTTATTAGCGGTCTTAATTGCTACATTTGGTTACCAGTCCAATTAATCCGGGGCTTTTGCAATTCTTGGACCGTTGCCGCAAGCCTCTGGAAAGTTCATCCAACGTGAACTGCCGGAATCCTCGCTTAGATCTTTCCAGAGCGATCCTTCGGTTGTAACATAATCTACCTGGCGAGGAAACCAAGGTAGCTGTACAACGTTTCCAAAGAAACAACCCGGGCAAGTGATGGTCCGCCTGAAACATACCCCTGAATCTGGGCCGTTACCAGCTTATACGGGCGTCCCCAGGGGTCCAGCATCCACCTCTCCTCCCATAGCTCCTCTACCAGCCAACGACACTTACTAAATTAATGGCTTTGTGAAGCCTCTTTCTGGCCGTCCAGATGCTTGTGCTTCTTGAGACAATTCATAGTTTGGCGGCTCCAGGGCGCGGCCTGTGCAATCTACGTGTTCGGCTGCATTCCCTGCGAGTTACGCGATCTCGTCGATCCACAGTACACTGGAGGACGCGTTCTCTCCTTGGACCCTTTGATCATTGGACGCAATCACAAGCGCAAATACCCAGTTCATTTACGGTTTCTACAATAGTATTCAGAGTCAGGGGCCAACATATCTTCAGGGATGCCCTCCATCATGGCAATGAAGGAATCAACGATCGAACGTCCTGTAGTCCAAAACGCTTTCCTTCTACCCCTTGTGAGCCTCAACATAGCCACTGCTCCTTTCAAAACTCATACAACAAGTAGGCTTGTAGGTCACTATGTGTATAATGTGCACTAATCTCCATGATGCATATAGTCTAGCCCGGCTTTTTAACAGACGAAAAGCTTAGTGTCAACGACCGAGCCGTGGCGACCAATTCATTACCCAAGGTCTGGACTGGCCCACCGTGTTGCAGAGGCCAGACATCCAAACTACAGTCAAGGGCTGTCCAGGAGAGCCACCCCCGCGTCGATTCGTTACTCGCTACCCCACTCCGTGGCCCATGCATTGGAAGTCCCAGCAATAATAAGCAGCCTTCGTTCTCTCCAACGTCATTCTATTAAGGCGATCGAGTAATTCCTCGAAACTCAAGCGATGCACTGGTGCAGCATAGACACTATAGAAATAATACACCGAACGAACCTTTGATCCAGGTGAATCCATCCCTTGGACTTGGCCATAACACCCTGGAGTGGACTATTACCCGTACATATCATAGCGCAGCTCGGGTTAGTGCGCAATCCGAAAACCAGGCTGAAGACCGATCAATATTTCTTTGACTGCTTCGCAAGTAATTGCAACATCCTATATTCATCTGGGCGCGGCACACGTCTGGGTGAGAAGGTCGCTGGGCCGCCTCACAATGATTTAAATATTAGACTGGAGAACTCTCATTTTCTGTTATCCGTTGCCTTCAATTGCTACTTGGTCTACGCCGGACACGTGAAACTCCCCGTCGGGTGGTTCCTCTATATCTTTGCAGAGCACACACACCTCGCCTCAGCGCGTTTGCAAGCCTGACGTAAGTGGCCGTCTCTCCGCTATCGGTGACAGGATTTCGACCTGTCCTGTCCCTGCTATCCGCAGTGCGCGCCTACAGATGTCCGAACGGCCCGAACAACGATAACCACTTCCGCACAATTACATTTCTCTCTACCGCGCGTGCAGTTGACCCCACCCAATCGAAACGGCCGCTCCTCAATGCCCTCCTCGGCGTAGGTCCTCGGTAGACGGACACTGCAGTTTGTGTTGCCTACTGTAACGCCGTACCGTACGGATATGGACACTTGCTAGTCAACAGTGGATTTCAGTTCCCTGCTTACAGGCTTTCACAGCACCTTCAGCCGCCGTTGTCTACTCGTCAGGTTGCGAATCTCGAGGAGTCGTTTCGTCTCTCCGCGTCGTTACCTCTTGGCTAACGTCGCCCAGTTTTTTTAGATATAAGCATCAATATATCTCGGAGGCTGCTTGCAGATTTTCCGCAACTCCACGCAGCAGGTATCCGGCTGCCACTCCTCCTCACCTTTGCGACGTTCTCACCAGCCGATCTTTTCGAGATGGTCGCCCTTGATCTGCTTAGAATATCAGCAATAGGAAAGGGCCTCCGGAATTTGCGTTAACAATAACGAGTTCGGGGCGATAAGAGTGCGGCCTTCTATATGTATATGTATATATATATATATATATATATATATATATATATATATATTACTGTACATATATGTATATGTATGTATGTATGTATATGTACACAAAACTTCGAAAAACGAAAAATAGTTTCAAAAAAGGTGAAACCTTATATATTTAAATTATCAACTACAGTATGCAATCCAATTATGACTTTCCATTCAAAAGTGCGTACTTCAAAAAGCATGGTGATGCTTTGTGGGACCTCAATATGATTTCTTTTGGGTTCTTAAATGTTGATAAAGGCTACAACATATGAACTAAATTGTTGAAATGTAAATTATCACATGAGCTGGCAACTTACTCTTGAAAATAATGTAAATAGGTATTTTGAACCTTTTTTAAAATCCCCTCCCCCTTCTTTATTTTTCCTTCTTTTTTCCTGTGTAATTATGAGTTATCAATTCTGTTGTAATTAGAACACAAAAAGTAAAATACCATTATTTACATCTGAAGCCCTCAAATTATTATGACTTTATCCTGTTGTATATTTTTCTTAGGTACCGTTTCACAGTTACACAACCAAACTATGAATTACGGCTTACAGAAGATGAAGGTTCTATTGCTTCAAATGAAATCACATATATTACGTGGCAATTTGTTCCTCGGGAAGAAGGCTATAAAACTAATACTGTGACATGTGATACTTGTGCTTTACTTGATTGCTGGTGTCCTTTTGGTACTTTTGTAGGAACTACTATTTCTGTTCATACAGAAAGTGAATATACAGAACTTGTGGTGTGTAATATTTCTGACGTCACAGGGTAAAAGTTCATAAGATAAAAATCTTAGTTTGGAGAAAATAAGGTGTAGATTATTGAGCCCTAAGCTATATTAAGCTACATTTTCTAATGCTTTTTTGTCATCAAGGAGGCCACATCAATTTGGTCATTTACTCAAAAAAATATATAGACACTTAACTTGTAGTTTCAGAACCCAAGTTTGCCAACAATTGACTTAAGAACTTTTACCCCAAGACAACAAATTTATCAAAATATTGTTTTTTAAAATTATTTCTATACAATATTCATTCAATGATTCCGTTTTCAGAGCTTTCCCAGTCATTTCAACTGTGGTGTAATAGATTACAAAAAAACAATTGAGATAAAATTTCATCTCTTTAATTTTGGAATGTGCAAAATGTACTTTATATTGAAATGCGTGTCGTGTAATGATGCATCAAATTTTGAAAAAAAAGATGTAACTATCAGCCCTAGTTCAGGTAAAATTGAACCTCTAGGCAAACTGCAAATTTCCGTGAGTGTATGCCCATCAGAATTGGGAGGACACGCTTTTGCAGTGGCTTATGGGATTGTGCCCAATTCAAAATCATTTCATAATATTCTACCAGAAAAAATAAAAGTGACCACAGTTCAGTATGAATGTGTAATGCCTACTGTGCAAATTGCTGACATTAATTATGTAGGAGGTGGTCCAATTATTAATAAAATTTGGTTGTGGAAAATGTTGAATATTAATGGGTAAATTTCAAATTTCAATTTCAACTGTTCTAATGAAATAAGTTTTCACTTCTTAGTCATATTAACTGGTTATTATTTGATGTAGATAAATGTGTCTGTCTGCAGAGTGAATGCAGTGCTGTCTGAAGCTCGTCCTGATGAAAGTCTGTTAGTGCACCTTAATGTGCCTCATGCTGTGGTGGGGAGTGATCCTCTCACGTTATTTTTCTTGCTTAGAAATGTGTCTGAAGTCACAGCATCATGGAGTTTAAAGCAGTTAGTAAATTGTAAATGTGTATTTAGAGAAGATTATATGACTAAAAGAGTGTTCAACCATCAGTGTGCTCATAAAAAACAAATCTTTGTTCATCCTTTATCAGATACATTAGAGGTAAAATATTTGGAAGTTTGCAATAACTGTAAAGTTAATGATAGTTAAAAATCTCTTTTATTTTATTTTAGTTTGTTTTCTGAAAATTATTTCCTTCTATTTTATATTTCTGATGACTGATACTCATTTCAGAGGCATAGTGATACTGTGTTGATGGTGAAAATAAAATATATAGTGCCCGGACAGAATGAAACAAATTACATACTGAAAATGGGCCATAATAGGAACATCAAGATCTCTTTTTCTGTCTTTTCTCTTCCTCATGATATATGTTCTCCTTCTGTTTATAGCACTTCTCTCACATTGCAGAGTATATACATTGGGGAAATTTCTCCATTTATTCAAGTAAGGCTAAATGACACCTGAATCATGTAATGTAAAAAATCTCGTCAGTGAGAAATGTAGAAATACTCTCATGAAATGTCCAGCATATTATGCATATTTTAGAAAACTAGTCTTCGTTACTTTTAAATAAAGTCATGCTGTACTATAAACTAATAGTAATTGACAAATACTGATATATTTCTTATTCATTATTTTCTTTGTGCCTGCTATTTTCTACCACACAGCTGAAATATTTAAGATAGAGCACAAATAGCTTTTTCTTAAAGTCTGAAGAAATCTATGAGCATTTTTTTCATAAGAACTTGAACACAATTATTAGAAAATTTGATAGTAACATTAAATCTCTTTATTTGTAAATTGTTGAGATATTCTCAAAACATAACAAACAATTTATTTGATTGGTTTTGCATTTTAAACCTAGAATTTTTAGGAATAAAATAGAAATATATCCTTAGAGTTTGTTTTTGAAAATAAACTTAAATCTAATTAATAATAATTTCATAAATTAATCATACATTTATGAAAAAGTTATCATTTATTCAACGATATAATTAGTATGCCCTATGATTAAAAAAAAATTAATATTACAGGCATTTTGGCTTTACAACAGTGCATGTAAGCCATCCTTTTATCATGTAGACAAAAAAGTACTGCAAGAGTACAATAAACAATACATGTATGATGTTATTTCCTGTATTAATCCTTCAGGAACAATTGCACCACAAACTGTGCATCCAATCCTGTTTCGATTTGCTCCAAAGTCACTGGATACATTTGAAGTTAGTAGCCCTAGTACCAGATTACAATATAAAAGAGTAATGTGATAGTATAATTAATAATATTTTAAAAAATAAATTGAAGAATATTTGAATTTTAGGTGGATGTTCCTGTTTGTCTTGGAACACAATATTATTATAATCTCCACTTAAAAGGAGATGGTGTTTTATCTAATCAGAATCGCCTTCAACTAATGACTTTTCATGCTCCAAGAAGCTCGATTTTTGATATGGAAGATATATCAATTTATCTGTCCATGGACCATTTGTTGATGGGACCCTTTACCACACATTCCCAAAATGAATGTCTGATATTCATTGAAAACCGATCATTATCAGTACCATTGAGATTTTCTTGGAAAAAGTAAGAATTGTTTTGAATATTTCTTCAGTTTTTTCACATTAAATATTTTAAAACTATGTTCATTTGGTTCCCTTTCAGATACATTCTGCCTGATTTTCTTACATGCTCGGTACAGCCACAAAAAGGAAATTTGCTTCCAGGAGAAACAAAAGTCTGTAAATTAAATGTTACTAGCCATTTCCAGCCATGTTTCTTTACAGTGCAAGTAGCATGTGAATTTATTAATCTAAACCTGTATATGAAGCATGAAAAAGCTCGGAAACTCTTTCAAGAAATAAAGCAAAAACAAGATGACATATTCACTATCACAGAAAAAGGAACTTTCAAACCAGTTAGTATCATATAATTACCTTACAATATTCTGTGGTTAGTATTATTCAAGAAAATTTTCTGCTGAGAAAAATAATTATTTTTAACTCTTCCTACCAGCCAGAATAAAAATTCAGTACTTGTTAATTATGTCCATACAGTAGCAAGGATGGTCAAATCTATTATAACAAATTAGCATGCTTTTTTTTATTCAGCAAAAATTTTTTGAGGGGATGCCCCAGTTTAGTTTTTAAACCACGGTTCTGGAAGGGTTAGTTATGCCACTGCCACTGCTTTTCATGGTTCTGTACCTTTACAAATTTGGTTTATCTGTTGACCCTATCTCAGTGTTTGAGCTATTGTTCTAAATATAGGGATGCAGTTGCCCAATTACACATAGTTGCCTATCAGGCAAATAAATGATGGAAGTATTAGTGTATAGATATAATACACAAGGGACTCAACAGACAGAAATTAAACTTTCATGCTTCACTTGAATTTCAAACCCTCAGCCTTCTTGTCCATGTACATGAGTTTACCTGCTCCAACCCTGACTCAATGAACCAACTCACTTGATAGTACTATTTGCAAATATATTATGATTATGTAACTAAAATAACTTGATAATACTGACAACTAAAATGGACCATTTTATGCACATATAGACTTTCATGTTCTTATTTGCATTGATACTATATATTTTAATTATTTAAACCATTCACCACAACCATTTCACATAGCAAAATATATGAAGTTACTTTAGCATCAAAATATATGAACATTGCACTCAGTGATGAATATTTTCTCAAAATTAACTCACTCACAAATAAATAATGTAGATCATAATGATTACAGCACATATCAGTTAAGACAATGCTATGGTTTACTGACAAAATATTTAACACATTACAATAGTGTTTTATCTAACATTATGTACATTTTTTCAAAATTTTCTTAACTTTTCCATCCCAAATAATAGAATGAAAATATGACTATAAGAACATAGAAGAGTTAAACATGGATCTTAATCCCAATGTTCATTGAAAAATTTAGAGTTGTTTTTGAGAAAATCTTCTTTGAGCTTTTCTGAAAATGCATTACTTTGGGCTCATTTCGAGTTTTCAAAAAACTTAGAAACAAATCATTTGAAGTTCTTCAACAAAATTACATTTATGTAATTTTTGAAAAATCAAAAGAATACATCTAAATTGCACTTAGGCAATGATATTCAGTGCACATAGCATTATCTGTACAAAAAAATTTGGAGCAGTTTTTGAGTAAACCTTGCTTTTAATGTTATCCATAATTCACTGAAAATTGAATGAAAACTACTAATATCTGCAAAGAAATGTACAAGTTATTAATTAATGAACTAACTATGGGGAAGAAATTATATTCAAAGAAAAAATCTCTATCTTCGATAACGTATGAGGGTTATCGAATACGTTGTTACAAAATTTAAACCAATGACAACTTTTGAAAATTCAAAGGTAACAGTGAAAATCAAACCTGTAACAATTTTGTAAGCATATTTGATTCTGAAATTTGTAGAAAAAATTTGGGAACATTTTTCAGAAAATTTTGAAAATTTCCCATGTAAAAGATTCTATTTCTGTTGTGTGGTAGCAATCCTTCACCCATATGAGAGTGATGGTAGTTGGTTAATAGCCAGTGAACAATGAAAAATTGATTTACCTATGTATTCTTCAATTCATTAAAAATGATTCACACAAGTCACACCCGTTTAGAAACATAATAAAATCAATGTTTGAGTATGTCTCACAAAGGAATGTTCAGATTTGCTAATGTACTAACAGTATATTACAAAGGACATCTGAAGTAGTACTACTATTTCATCATTCTAGGAGTGTACCATTGTTCTTCCACCTTCACCAAAACCACTGTATCGAGTGATAGCTGTATCTTGCAGTGTAACAAGCACCTTTCAAGTGGATAATAAATTGTCTCTTGATGAGCAACTTAAGCAGTTTCCATTAGCAGAAGCAGCCAAGGACTTCAACAGTGACAACAATGAGGTTATTCCAGAGACAAAAGCTCTCAATGTAATGAGACATGTTATTGACACATTAATATGGTTAGTGAAGATGTTTGTGCATTTTGTAGTGATATGTTGTTGTAATACATAGATTGCATACGATCCTTGGTAATCCCTACGGATATTCGTAGCAGTTGGTTGCCAGCCTTTACCTCAAAGTCTCTCTTCCTTTCTGGTGTCATTTCCTTTGTAAGTTTCCTCCAAGCTGTTCTGTCTAGCATCATTCTCATTGCTTCTATCCAAGTCAAGTTGGTTTCTTTTTTGATTTCCTCATCTCAACTTATTTTCCTTCTTCCCACTCTCCTAGTTCTGTCCATTGTTACTAACATCATGTTCTTTTCCAGTGATTCCGTTCTTCTTGTAATGTGTCCAAAGAATGATACTTTCTGTCTGACAGCTCCGGCTTCACTTCTAATATAGACAGGTTTATTCTTCTGTGAGATCAATGAGTTTTCAGTATTTTCTGCCAGCACCACATTTCAAATGCATCTATCTTTATTTTGTCCATACATCTTTAAG